GCCTTTTAATTATTAAAATATGCGTTCATGGTAAAAAAAAATTAAATCCAAGTGGTGCCTGAAAGGACCCCCAGTGAAAAGTCATCTCCTGGCTGGGCCTCCAGGTCACCACCTGGGAGCACAAACCACCTGCGGTCCCTCCGTCATGGCAGAGACGACACAAGGACATTCCTGCCTGTCTCTGCTCAAAAGACCCAGCTCACTTCTGCTCCGAATCCTGTGCTCATCTCTCTCCTCTCTCCTGCTAACCGACCCTGGAGATCATTCCACAAGAGCTACCTCAGGGCACCTCCCCCTCCCTCCTAGAAGTCACGCAAGTGGAATCACCGGTTCCTAGGCAGACACGCCCGGTGCCAGTGAGTCACTCTGCTGTGTGACCCCGACAGGCGGCGAAAGCGAATGATCCGGAGGCTCCCTGGCTGGCCCCGCTGAGGGTGGGGAGCCCAGCCGGCCACACCCTGACGGCAGCCTCGCAGGACGCTGAGCGGAGCACCAGCTCCGCCCAGGCTCCCGGCCACGGGCACGTGGTGCAAGCTGCCAGGTTTGCGCAAGTTTGTTGGGAGCAGGTAGGAGCGTGAAGTCCTCTCTGCCTGCTTCTCTTGCCCTACGAGACGTCTGAGAGGCGTCCAGGCGGTCACAGGATCTCCAGGCAGTGCTTTCTGTAAGGATTACCCGCAGTGCACGTTCACTGTCCGTGGGCATCTGGACAGCGGGTGGCTTCAACGCCGTGGCTGTGAGGAGTGCGGCTGGGAGACCACCCCCTACGCCCCAGGTAGACGACACGCATGCTTATGCCCTGGGGTGTCTGGCCGGATCGGCGTGTGGGTGGCTGTTTAACTGGGTGCACGCCCACAGCCGGGCTGTCTGTCCTGTCACTTCAGCCCCTGGACGGCGGTGTGGAGGGGTTTGTGCTTTTATTCACAGGTCCCTGCGGGGTCGTAGGATGTGGGGCATTTCTTCACGTTTATTGGCCTCCCCTGAGATGTTCCTGATATGCTTTGTCAGCTCTAGGGCAATTTATTGTCACCCACACCCCCAAGCTGGACCTAGAGGGAAACAAAAACTCCTTATAAGGCAAGGGCCCCTGGGCCCTTCGTGGAGCCTGAGGGTGAAGACGCTCAGAGAGCAGGGCTGAGATGGAAAGAGAGTGGCCAAGTCGCAATCACTGTGTCTAAGCTCCTTGATCCAGCCATGCCTGAAGCTTCATTATGGACTTCTCCATCACATGAGCCAGCACTCCTCTCACCTGTCAATTTGCATGGGGGTCTGTCACTTGTGCTGCAGGGTCCTAGCTGGTGCAGGGCCCAAGTTGGCCCTGTCTGGGTCCAGTCTGCCCACACTGGTGCTCCAGGGCACTGACATTCTGGGGGCCCACCAAGCCCTGGGAAGGAAGTGGGTTGGGGGGGCCTCCAAGACCCAGAGCGCTACCAGCCCTCCCCGCCATGGTCTGCACCCCACCTCATCACCACTTGTGTTCTGAGGCTGAATAACCATGTAATTGGTTCATCGTTCCATACCAAACCTCAGCAAATATGTTTTTCATAATTAGTTGATGTTTATTTAATGGAAATAACCAGCCCATTAAATTTAATGAGGCATGTTGTCAGGTACGAAGTGTAAGTGTTTTTCCTTAAGAGCCACCTGGACGTGACCATGCTGGTTCCTGGGCCAAGGACCCGGCCCTGTGTCTGCATGTAGGAGGCCCCGGGAGCAGGGGCATGCGCCCTTGTGGGAAACAGCAGCCCCCACCCCTGGTCCCGGCCCCCACTTTCTCTCTGTGTTACGGTTTCTGCATCAGACCCTGTACTGTGGGTTTCACCTTGTCCACCTCCCCACTGAGCTCCAAGCTCCTGTCGGTTGGGGCAATGCGGCGTCTCCAGCGCAGAGCCCTGACCACCTGTGGGGATGTCAACACCAGGGCTCGCTGTGCAAAAGGACGAGCGGCTGCAGAGGCCCTCCTGCCCCCGCGGGTCCCCAGCCCCACCCCCACCCCACGTGCGCTCTGGGCCCGGCCAGGTTCCCTCATCTCCCCTGCAGGCTTCGGATCTTTGTTCAAGGAGGTGCAGGCTCCGCCAGGGAATTGCATGGGTGTTTGGGGGGTGTAGGGGGGCTACTAAAAATGTTCTGGTCAGTTTAGAAGAAGAGAAAATACAGTTAATTATAGAAAGCAAGACAAAACTCACCGTCATTCTACCCCTGAGAGAAAAGCACTGAACGTCGGTGTGCAGCCCTCTGCCCGGGTTCTTTTGTGTTTTCGCTTGTGTAACGGTGGTATTTCTTCATCCAGAGACAGCTCGCACTTTTTAATTGGATTCACGATCTCCACACAATTTGCTGCTGCCTGTGGCTGCGGGGAGGGTGGACGGGGCGTCCCTGTGGTTGGGCGTCGGCCGTGTCTCCAGAGTGGCCTGTCACTCCAAGTGCTGTGCAACTGAGTCTCTGCCCGCTGCAGATGCCCTCTCTGGCTGCAGCCGTGGACTTACCCCTGGGGCCTTGCCACAACCCCAAAGTGAGCTGTCCTGCTGGCCGGGAGGGGCTGGGGGCGGGCCCCCTGCTCTCACGCCTGCTGAGCCCAGCCGTGTCGCACGACCCTTGCTCCCCAGGAGATGCACCTGGGACGGTCTTCCCCTACAAATGAGGGAGCTGGAGGCGCCGCGCGGGGCTCGGTCTCGCCCCTGTGGCTCCGACGTGGCTCTGAACCCTGCACCAGGCTGCCCGCAGGCACCAGAGACCGCAGAGGCCAGACAACAGCCCAGGACAGAGAACCCGCACACGTCCCGGTTTCGTCTGTAACCTGGGGGCAGTAGCGGCAGTAACTACCCCAGAGGGCGTGGAGAGCGCCACGCGTGTGCTAACCGTGGGTCTGTCTCCATGAGCTGCACCCCACGGGTCTCCAGGGACCTGCCCACGGTGCTGGGCCCGGGGGCAGCCTCCACTGCGGGGGCAGCTCCAGGGCCACCTGCCCTCCAGTCCTGCTGGTTTCAGACAATGGGAGACGGAGGTTAGGTGGGGCAGGGGGAGGGAGAGGCTGCCTCTTGCAGCGGCGGTGTCCCCGGGACCCCAGCCCCTGAGCAGGGCCACTATGGTGCCAGCGTCCCCCAGGAACCTGCCTCTTTCCGCCATCCCTCCAGCCCTGGGTGACGGGCTGCCTTCTGGGCCATCACACCATCGAACTTGGGTTCTCAGCTCCTCCACCTCCTCTGGGACCGACTCCCTGCACCCAGTTCCCTCTGTTTAAATAACCGGTGCTTTCAGGCTCCTGGTTGGAGCCTGGACGCCACAGCCAACGTCATCACGTTTAATCCCCCAGCAGCTGGGTGGGCTGCGGACTAACCCTCCCTCCTGACAGTCACACGGCCGGGTCCTGGGCTGCCTCGGGGTCCAGGCCCGCTGGACACAACCCTCGCTCGTGCCATGTTCTCTCCAGCTGGCTTCGTACCACGTACGACCACGTGGGGGGCCTGGAGACCAGGCCCACGTGTAGGACTGCTGAGTACACGTGCACACACACGTGCACACAGAGCCACACCCTGAACGCGTGCACCTGACTCCAACAAAGTCCACCCAACATAGCCCTACGTCCGTGGTAGGAGATGGGGGCACCCAGCCCAGGGAAGCTTGGTTCTGGCCCCAGGATGCCCAGGAATAGGCTGAGCCAATGGAGAGAGCCGGGAGCATCAGCCTGGCCTCTGCCCTCGCCCCGCCGACCCCTGCTTTGCCTGCTCTCTGCAAACGCCCAGCTGTGCACAGTCTGTGCCCCCTCCGGGCACCCCCGGCTCCCATCTGGGGTTCTGCTCTCCCAGCCTCCGGCTGCCCCGCTGCCATCCATCCAGCTTTGGACTCATAGCTCAGCCCTGTCCATCCGGAAGCTGGCCTGCTCTCTTGCTGTGTCCCAGTGAGGAACCTTCCCCATCTGCCCACCTCCTCCAGCTCTGGGTGGCCCTTTGCTGGATGCCCACCCCCCCACCAGCTGGATGCTCCCCAGGGCAGCAGCCTGTCTGATCTTGGGGCCAGTGCAGGGCTGCACATGGAGTGAGAGAAAACAAAGACAAATGCTTTATTTGTCCGTGGACAGGTACACACACAGTTTCTCAAGCACAGGGGCAGCAGAGGCGCCCAGCAGGACAGGCTGTGGCCCAGGGGTCTGTGGGTTATGGTCCCACATGGGTCCCCTCATCAGGGCTCCAAGTCACTGCCAGGCCAGGAGTGAGGCTGCTTGTCAGCCCTGCGAGGGAGAATAGAGGTCAGTCGCTGGCGTCCCCTCCAGGTATTGCTCCATGGGGGCGACCGCTAAATGGACACGCACCCCCCACCCAGCTGGTCCCTGCAGCCTGGGACTGGGCCTCCTCCCCTCCAAGCCCAGTGCCCACACGCACGTGCCTGCGGCCCCTAGCTGACATGGCCCCTCCTCCACCGACCTCCCGCCCGCCCCACGTACAGACGGTGCTGGCCAGTCCTCCTCTGCCCTGGGGGGTCCCTCTTGTTCTCGCCTTAACCGCACAGATTTCCTGTGACCCTCCCCCAGCACGTGCTCAGGTGAGCGCTCTCACGCCCTCTGGCTGCCCGCAGGGCCTGCACCCAAGGCACCAGCATGTCCACACGCCAGCGCGCTTCCTGGCGACCACCACGCTGGGCTGAGCTCGTCTAGCAGCCGGGGAGGTTCCGCCCTGGATCAGGTGGCCTGAGTCCTAGGCTGGCTCCCTGGTGCCAGGGATGGTCCCGGCCACCTGGCCGCTTGCAGGAGTAAATCGCTCTGGGGGGTCTCTAAGGCTGGAGCCTCCCTAGGCTAGGACGAGGGGCCCGCGGGTGCCTCCCCTGCACTGGCTGCAGCTCGCAGAGGACACCTGACCTCCTCCCCAGGCTCCAGGCCCAGCTGGTCCCTGTGGAGCCCAGGGCGGTGTGGGCAGGCGGGCTGTGCGCAGGAGCGATCCAGACCCGCCTGTCTCCTACTTGGCAACAGAGGCTTGTCCCAGGGAGGAAGGCCGTGCCCCGCAGCTCTTCCAACAAACATACCAGCCATCTGGTGAGCCCAAGCTGCCCAGAGTGAGGAGGTGCCTGGGGGCGGAGGCTGGGAGCTGGGGGAGCCGGCAGGGAGGGACTGGAGGGAGGCCAGGTCTCAGGGCAGGGCCACTGCACCCCAGATGACACAATAGCCTGGAGAGCCCCTGATGCCGGCTGAGGAGTGCACGGGACCTGGGGCCACCATCGCCCGCCCACTCCCCAGAGGCTGGTCCCGTCAGTTGGGCCAGCACAGGAGCTGGGTGGGTGCAGAGCTGCCCTCTCGAGCAGGGCTCTGACCCCTTCTACTGGGTGGCCCAGCCCTCTCCACGACCCTAGCCTGCACATGCATCCCCTGCCCAACAGCCCAGAGGTAAGGGCTGGGTGGCCACCCCTGAACAGTGGGGCCTGACTATACCCAGCACAGCTCCTGGACCCAGCCTAGCAGGCTGCGCCCACACCCCCTTCCCCACGCAGATGCCTGGAGCACTCAGGGGCCAGCCGTGGACATGGTGGGCGGGAGGTCAGGATGCTGGCTTGGCGGGCCAGTGGGCAGAGGCGCCAGCTGCCCGGTGGGCGGCCAGGGGAGCTGGCCTTACCTTGTGGGCGGTGCTCACGCAGTGCTGGTAGGCTTTGACTAGGTCTGCGCACAGGAGCACCTCCTGCAGGTGGTCTCGGTAGCAGTGGAGAATCTGGGCCTGCAGCCCCGAGCACACGGGCTCCAGCCTGCGGGGCCTGCAGGACAGAGAGAGGAGGCCTGTGGTGGCCCAGCGGGCAGGGAGGGGATGGCCCACTGAGAACCATGGGCCAGGCGTGGGGGGCCCCTGCAGTCCCCGGCATCCAGACCCCCTCGGAGAGAAGGCCAGCTGGGGACCCTGCCCCGCCACAGCCTCCAGCGCAGGCGTGGGCCACTGTGACCACGGGATCACGCACAGGCGGCTGGCTTCTCTGACGAAGCTGTCTTTCTGACCTCAAAGCTAGTACGTGCACGGGGAGGAGAACTGGAAAGCCACAGGATGCCTAAGGAAGAACTAAGGTTTCAAAACCGTACTTCCTAGAGACAATCACTCCAGCGTTCTGGACGCAATTACTATTTTTTCTCTCTTCGTTTATCAAAGTAGGCTTAACGCCTAAACTTAGGCTCTAAACATATTCATCTGAAAAAAGATTACATTCTCTTTTTAAAAATATGAAGCAAATACCAAAAAAGTGAAATAAATGTTATTCTCAAAGGTCTCCTTCCTGAGGCCCCTCCACCCTTGCCTTTCTGTCTCACACACGCTCTCCTGAACACTCACCCTCTCAGACTCACACGTGCACACTCACAGGTGCACACACTCGCAAGTGCACTCTCTCACATGCACACTCTCACAGGTGCATGCATACATTCGCAGGTGCGTGCACAGGTGCACTCACAAGTGCACACTCATGCACTCTCACAGGTGCACACCTACAAATGCACTCTCACGTGCACGCTCAAGTGCACACTCACAGGTGCACACACTCACAAGTGCATTCTCTCGCATGCACACTCTCACAGGTGCATGCACACTCTCACAGGTGTGTGCACATGTGCACACACTCACAAGTGCACACTCGTGCACTCTCACAGGTGCACACTCACATGCACACTCACAGGTGCATGCATTCACAGGTGTGTGCACAGGTGCACACATTCACAGGTGCACACTCTCTCATGTGCACACGCTTCCTGCTCCGCCCAGCACGTGGGATTCCACCGTGTGCTGAGGATGCAAGCCAGGGCACGGCCAGCCCTATAGCACTGGGGGCTCCAGCCTCGAAACCCAATTCTGCTGGTGTCTGTGCAGTGAGGAAGAGGACTCAGAGAGTTCTCACTGGAGGAGAACATGGGGGTCTTTCCTCAGCACAGGACAGATGGCTCCTGGGCTCAGCCCTTACCTCTAGGGACCTGGGGTCCCCTCACTGGGCGCTATCTGCCATCACGGTGCGGTGATGGCCTCCCCCAACCCCAGTACTTGCAGAACGCCTCCGCTTCCGAGCTGAAGACTTTTTGATGTGGACACAATTCCACGTCAAAATTCCAACCCAGTTTTACTGGAACTACTCAATGAGTATTTTATTTTCTTTCAGGTTTACTTGACAGTGGATACGTCGTTTGGTATCAGAGGACAGCGGCAAGGGCTCATCTCGTGTCCAGAGATCACCCCAAAACACCGTACTGTGCTCTCTTGTTCTGACTGGTATCACCTGGATTAGCTTACGCTTGCCTCATCCACTCTGTTCCAAACGAGACTGTGGGGGAAACAGGGTCAGAAAAACACGTGGGGGAAAATGCAGTGATGTTGAAATCTAAAACGAAGTCCAGTCGTGGGTCTTTTAAACGGTTTACTCCAGGAAGGACAGCCGGCCCTCGGACAGGCATCTCCGCCACTCTCCCCGGGGCCCAGTGTGCTTCACCGCGCCCTCCAGCCAGCACCTCCCTTGGCCGCGAGCCTGTGCGCGGCTGTCCTTTCACATCAGGCCTCCTGTCCCCCCACCCCTGTCCCTGAACCCTGTGAACAGCTCCCAACCCACACGACCCCCCGGGTATGGCCAGTGGGGGGCTCGGTGGCAGCAGGACCGTCAGGGCTCACAGGTCTCGTGAGGACAGGCCCGAGTCCTGGAGCTGGACCAAGGCGGGACAGACACGCCTCCAGGTGTAAACGGGCAGCCTCGTCCTGCCCCCTTCCTCCTCTGTCTTCAGGTTCCCGCCAGGGCCGCAGGCATCCTGATGGCCGGCCTTGCAGAACCCCCAGTGGCCCCCTCACAGCAGGGTCACTCTGGGCCCAAGGCCTCTCTGCTCTGGGACTTGTCAGCAGCAATACGAGGAGACAAGATGGTGGGCAAGCGTCAACTGGAAGAAATGTCACCCGTTTGCCTGTAAAACGACGGTGAACGCATGGGACCCAGAGAGCACAGATCTCCTGGAGCCAGCCGGGCGGGGCTGGGTCCCAGCACAGGAGAGCCGCGCACCCTACCGGGCACAGCCCCGCCTCCCAGCCCTGCCGCCCAGCCCTGCCGCCCAGCAGCTGGGTACTGTTCAGCCTGGGGGACAGCTGCCCTGCAGACACACAGAGGACGTCCCCACGGCAACCTTCCCGGGGCCCAGGCAAGACCCACCCTCCGTCCGAGGGGCTTTGCGGCCACATGCCCCTGTGCATTAGGAGCTGGGTCTGGGTGGTTCAGGGCTATCGCCCCGCCAGAAGTGGCCCCCTCGCCAGCCCCGACGCCCCCGGCACACTGGGCTGAGACAGCCAGACTGGAGCATGAGGACCGGGGTGGGCAGGGTGGTAGGGTGGGAGGAGAGCTGGGGGAGGCGCTGCCCCTGAAGTCTTGCTGGACAAGCACTGCAACAGGAGGCTTCAGGCCGCAGACGTGGCTGGAAGGCAGGCCCATCTGCCCTTCCGTCCCCCTCTGACCTGTGTTTCCAGGTCACTCCACACTGTCTAGGGCTCCTCAGGCCTCGAGGCTGTCTCTTTCCCAGAGCCTGAAGGCACCCATTGCGGCGTCCCTGCTCCATGGAGCAAGCAGACCCCCGAGCCAGCCCTGCGCGCCAGTGGGCAGCACACAGGTCTGGGGGCAGACACACCAGGCTGGGGCTCGGGCTTGGCCACTTTCTGTTATGTGTTTGAGGTCAGAGGAGAGGAGGGCCAGGCCTCAGAGCAGCTGGGAGCGACTGGTGCAGTCTGTTCTCTGCACTCAGCCCTCCCTACGCGCACGCACAGGCCCTCACACCTTCCCTTTGCCCCACAGACTGTGGGCTCCTGCGACCCAGAACCCCCACGGCCAACCCCCAGACCCCAACAACACGCACTCCTGGGCTCAGGACCTGGAATCCCATGGTCCCTGAGCCTCACATTCTAGGAAGTTACCCCCAATCTGCCGCTTCCTCACCGAAGCCCCCACCTAGCACCGAGGGGCCCACTTCCCTCCCAGTTTCAGTCCTGGGGAGTGCAGGTCACCCCGGGCGACCCCAGTCAGAGAGCTGGGGTCACTCTGGACGTGCCCCCGCCTTCGTTCTGGACATCTTACTTTCCAGCTATACTGATCCCGACTCTCTCCAGCCTTACTGGAAACCGACGTCGTCCCCACCCCAACCCCAGGCAGCTCAGGCACCCCCTGCATCCCTGTGACCAGCTGACCCCGAACTGGGCGGCTCTCGAGGCCACCCCTCCTCTTGCTGCCTCCTCCGCCCTCCATCCTTGAGGCCTTCAGTGTCCCTCAGATGCTCCTGGGCTTCTGGCTCAGGTCTGTAGAGGCCGCACCACACCCCCCCCCCGACTCCTGCCTGGTCTGCACCAGCCCCGCCCCGCTCCACTTCTGGGTGTTCCCAGAGCAGACCCCCGAGGCCTCCTCACGGCCACAGAAGCTTCCAGAAGGGCCCCCTCCTTCTCCTTCTCTAGTCCCCAGGCCTCTGGGGGCCCGGCTCTCCTGATGGCCCGGAGCCACCCCCTCCACAGTCTGGGGTCTGCCTCCCCCCGCGCCCCGGGGGCCAACAGCGCCCTGCGGGCATGGACACACCTCCTGAGCATCCCCACTTCTCACACCCCACCTCCTCCGCCGGGGGGTTCCTTCTGCAGGGCCAAGCCCCCCCCACCACGGCCCTTGGCGCAGCTCCTCCCCCCAGCCTGGGTGGTCTCTCCTCCAGCCTTTCTCTCTCCTTTCATCCACCTTCCCCACCGAAACACACTCATCCTTCTGAAAAGGCTACAAACCCATGTCCTGGGAAAGGCGACAGTCAGCCACGCAGGAAAGTGGCGGGAGCAGACAGGGTTCTGACCTGGCGGAAGCGAGCGGGAAGCAGACAAACCAGTCACCTTCCGACAGATGGCTCCTTGGCTCGGCGGCCGCGTCCAGGCCTGCGGTCAGCGCAGCGTCTAACCTCCACCCGCGTGAGGGAGGACTGGGCCCCCGACCGGGCTCACTTGGGCCTGGGGAGCTCCCACGGGAGGGGGTGACAGGTGCCCCGACCTCGGTACATGGCTTAGGAGGGCTCTGAGGACCAGCACCCGCAGGCCCGACCCAGCATAGCGGTGGTTCTGCCGGCGGGGCCGCCAGCCCTAGGCTGGCTGTGAGGCGGAGGGACGTCAGGGCCTGGTGGTCTGGCCCCACCTCACTGGCCCTCCACGCTGCTCCTCCAACTGTGGGAAGTCCCAGAACCTCCAAGGGAGAAACGGCCAAGGGCACGGAGAGGCAGCAAAGATGCCTGGAGGTCAGGCCTGCCGGGCCCGTCTGACGCCTGGCCAGTGACCGCGGAGGAGGGGCCGCGTGGCCGAGCGGGAAGGCGGGCCGGAGGGAGGGCGGGCCGGGCCCCCTCCAGCGAAGCCCCCTCCCCGCCCTGCCCCCAGCTCCCAGGGACGGGGTCTCGGGCACAAGCCCAGCTGCCCATCCGCCCGCGTGCGGCGTCCTCTGCAAGCTCTCTTATTTAATAAACGAAATCTCATCAACTTATCCGGCTCCTGTTATCACTGCTGACATCAATCTGATAATATTGGCCTGGTGTGGAACCGGGCTATTAGACGTCTGCCTGGCACTTAATTTCAGAGACAAGCCGGCAGTGGGTGAACCTGCGAGCAGGCTTTTTATTACGGCTGTGGGGGAGCGTCCCGAGAGCCGCTCGTCCGTCTTCGTCAGGTCCAGCCCGGCTGCGAGCGGGACAGGCGCTGCTGTAACCACGGCCAGGGCTGAGGTGCTGGGCGGACCCGCTGCTTACA